GCACTGTATAAGCACCCACTATTGTGACTCCTTTCCCATACACTCTGCCCCACAACACCTTGTGGTTTCTTCTTCTTAATATAGCTTCCTCTCTCAGTCGTTTCTGTTCTCTTGTCTTTGTTCAACTAGCCTTTGTTCACATTGACCCCTCTGCCTCGGAAGTCCTCCCTACCTGCACCCAGCAAACTCCCAGCCATCCTCTGTGACTGAGTTCAGGAATCATGTCCTAACCTCGCGTGATACCTTGGGCTCATCTTTGGCTTCATATTTTTACCTTTGTCTACAGTAATTTCTTTACCAGCCTATTTCTCCCACCAGTTCATGGAGATGAGGGGTTGCATCTTATTCAGTTTTTTAAAATTTCCTGCCCCTAGCTCAGTGATTGGGTTTTGGAAGAAATGCTGTAAAAGTTTGTGGACTGGAAGATGTTAGACTACTAATAAAAATCCCGTTGTCAGAGATATCTTTCTAAACATAGACTTGATGTCAACTTTTCTCTACTCAAAGATGTTTATTCTGAAACAATGAGGAATATATGCAGAATAAACCACAAGACTTGCAGCCAACTTCTTCCTTTCAAAACCAGGGAGAGCCTGGCTGAAGAGCTGTTTAACTCAGGTGACCTAAGACAGGGCACCCACAGGGAGAACAGAAATCATGAGGATGGAGAAACAAAGTTCCAGCTGGGTGACCATCTTGCTTTGTTAGCCATGTCTCAAAGGAACGGCTGTGACAAGCCAAGTCTGCCTAGTCAATCCCATCTGCTCACTGGGAACCTCTTGGTGGAGCATCAGAACCTATTATGTTTCATGTGTTTCCTGTTCTGAGGAAATCAGGTGATGGTGCTTAGGTGGCCAGAAGAGATGTGGGCTTCTTCTTCCTGTCAAGTGACAACAATGACCTCAGGTGACAGAGCTGTCAATCACGACCCCAGGAGGCTATTAAAAACCTAAGAGACCAAGCCCCACTGTTGGGCAGTGACTCCCAGCCCTTATATCAGAAGCACAGGGCAGCATCCACACCTCGCCACATTCATGCAATACCCCTAATAATTGAATCAGAATGTCTGGTGATGGGACCCAGGTGTCAGTAATGCTTAAAACTGTCCAGGTTGGTAGGCGTGGGGAGGGCATAGCTCAGTGGTAGAGTGCGTGCTCAGTGTGCACAAGGTCCTGGGTTCAATCCCCAGTATCTCCATCCAAAATAATAAATAAATATATAAATAAATAAATAACCTAATTACCCCCCTGCAAAGAAATACTGAAATAAAATTGCCCAGGTAATTCCAATGTGCAGCAAGGTGGAGAAGCACTGCTGTGGGAGTGGTACAGGGCTGGGCAGAAGAGAGAAACTCATCAACCTGTCTTTTTTCTGGGCCAGATCCACTTCCTTCACGAAAAACAATTACTTATTAAGCTACCTTCCTCACCCCTCCCCTTATCACTGTATTATACAGTAGTGAATAAAATAGACACAGTTCTATGTATCATGGAGCCTATGGTCAAGTAGGAGAGCTAACCACGAACATTATAAATTATGAAAATTCTATGGAGAAAAAACCAGGGGGCCATGTGGAAAATCACTTATTTTATCTTGATCTATGGGGAGGTGAAATTTAAGCTGAGACCCACAGAGCAGGAAGGAGCCATTTGGAATGGTGGGAAGAGCATCCCCAGGCCGAGGGGACCTCGTGTGTTAAGGCTCCATGGCAGGAGGATGCTCGGTGTGTCTACTCCAATTCAATATCTACCACAAACATTCTCTGATTACCTACTCTGTGGCAGGCAGAATATAGAGATGGCAGGCATGGTCCCTACATTTGAGAAGCTCATAATTCAGAGGGAAGATAGTGTGTAGAGAAATAGACGGCAAGAAGCAAAGTTTAGCAGGACTCCTGGGGGAGGAAATTTAATTCTACCCAATGTATGAATTGGTGTGTGTGTATGGGAGTGATCAGAGGTCTCAGTGGAGAGAATTAAGGCTTTGAATGATGATATAAATTACCTCTTTTCGTCATATGCTCTCTTTGACATCTGTAGAAAGCATTTTCCAGATAGACAGGGGACAAAGTGCCACACCAGGGAGCACATGTGTAGAGGTATGGAGGCATCAGAGTGTTTGGCATGCTTGGGGAATGAAGAATTTGGCATATCTGGGGCTTTGGATGGGGCCATGTGCTGTGCTGAGGGTGTGGCTGGAGACAGGGAGAACTGACAAATGAATAACACTAGGGGCTCTCTCTGGTTTGCCTGGCATTGGGGGTAGCTAGAATGGATGATTCTCTGATCCCAGAAGAGGCTGCAAGTTCCACAGAACCTGAATAAGCTTTACTCTCTCCTCGGTCAGAGTTAGCTGTGCCTGACTGAATTCAATCTCCCATGGAATGGGGGCTCCCAGGGTCTCCAGGTGCTCAGAGCTGGCATCTCCCAACAGTCCTCGTACACCTGGCACTTCAGCCTGTATCTTTTGGTGTCTGAGTCCCAAAGGCTTACCCTTTATTCCCCTTCCTGGAGCAAAGCCGCTTTCAGATTTGCTCCTTACAAATGAAACACAGCAAGGGGTAGAGCCCGCTGATGACCTGCTGTATGCACAGCTGAGCTGCAGCCTAAACATCCCTCTCTGCAGGATGCCGAGAGGACGGGGGCTGGGCACACCTTCTGGTCCTTCTGCCCGCAAGTTCCAGGTGCACCAAGTGATACTTGCTGTTGTTTCTTTCAAGTTATTTTCACCATAAATGATGCTGGGGGCAGGGAGGAGGTGAAGATGAATGAAGCTGCATGGTTTGGTGGGGTTAAGTCTGGAAGGGTTTTGTGGGCCATGAAGCTTGAATTTCATCCTTAGGAGTGAGGTACCAGGGAAGGATTTCCAGCCTGGGAGGGCCTTGATCAGACCTGTGTTTTTGAAAGATTTCTCTGTTGGCTAACATTGAGGCTGGGCTATAAAGGAGTGATACTAGACGATGAGGTTCACAGGAATGTTAGTTCCCCGAGAGCCTGCCGTTTTGTTTCTTCCGTTCACTACTTTTCTCCACGGTCTAGAATAGTGTCTAGCATGTAGTTAGTACCCAATAGATACTTGATGAATAAATGAGACCAATTAGGAAGCTGTTGCCCTGGTCCAGGTAAAAGATGATGCTTAAACTTGGTCAGTGGCTTGGGGATGAGGAGGACTTAGAAACATTGAGATAGTTTGGAGGGAGGGTTTACAATAGGAGAGCACAGTTGAAATAGCAACTAAAATGGTTTTACTCCTTCAACCCAGCACCAAGGACAGATAATTCAGTAGCCTGGCTGACAGAAGAGTCTCTGTCTTCCATCCTGGGGCTCAAGCTCCTATCCCAGGGAGTCATGGGCCCCACAGGGAGTATCCTCGTCCAGGAGGTCTGGCGTGGGTACCACCCTGTCCTTCGTGGACTCTGTGATACCACGGCTTCCTGGTGCAGCAGGTGGAATTGTTACTGAATTTGCTGTAGTGCACAATAGAAGACCTACAGAGTTTCTGTCTCTGACTCATGTTTCTATTTAAAATGGAAAGGGATACTGTAAAAATAAAAGTTTCCTTTCGGATGCTTTCAAAACTCAACCTCCCATCCTGCCCAGGTTCCCTTTGATAATCCATGGGTAAGAATCCCCAGGTCTAGTCTGTACATGGGCAAACTGTTGTTTATTCTCTAGCTTTTGTTCATAGGTTTGGTTTTTATGTTTTTCAAGGTAATTTGGGCTGATCACTAACCAGCAAGGCCACGAAAGTGCTGGCAGTACAGGTTTAAGGCATTTTTAAAGACCTATGTTGGGCACTGCTAACAGTGGCTTCTAGGACTGCATGGTAATAATGACTATAGTAATGATGATCTCTCACACGGTACAAATCATTTAACAGGATCACTTAATTTATTCTTTTCAAAAACTGAAAATCTGGCATGTAACTGAAGACTAGCCTCCTTTTACAGGAGTGGGAGCTGCAACTCAGACACTGATTGCAAACAGACGGCCCATCTGGGGTCAGTACCCACACTTCTGACTTCTGGTCCAGCGGTCTATTTATTTCCCCTACTGTGAGCTGAGCAGTGTGGGAACTCCAGATTTTATTGACATGGTGGTTTGTGATATGGTTCCAGGGAGGTCACCTGACTTCTCTCTGCCTGGAAAGGGGGGAAACCTGTGATCCCTCTCCCTCCCTCTCTTCAAATTTCCAAAGAGGAAGAAGCTCTCAGTCCGAGTGGGAGCCTGAGCCTGGTTTGTAGGCAATGGGTGTACAGGTGGCTCATTGCCGTGTGCCCCAGGGCAGCACTAAATTGATATTTGCTGATCTCCAAGCCTCTGGCAGAGATGGGGAGTGAGGGCTGGGAAAGTGACATTTCTGTAAATAATCACACCTGGTTCTAAGAGCAGAAGGATTGGCATGTCCTTGTAGCCTCATCAATTACCATCAACCTTTTGCGAAGGGAGCCCCAGGGGAAAGAATCTCTTCACACTCTTCTGATTATTTATAGACACCCCCTCCTGTCCTCACTCTGGGTGGAGTATGGTTTGCCCCGCAGTGGCCTCTTTCCAGATGTGTTTATATTCTTCTAGGCCCAGTGGAACGCATCTTTCCGCCCCACCACTAAATGGAGCAGAGACGATGCCTGACATTAGGACATAATGAAGATGTGGAAGGGAGACATGGAGCAGCATGCCTGAATTTCTCAGCTAGATTCATGTATCTTCTGGCAAACACTGACTGAATAGCCACTTTGCTGCTAAAGAAGGCAATTCAGCATAGTGATTCAATAAACATGCTTTGCAAGCAGATAGACCTGAATTTAAATCCCAGCTCTCCATTTACCACTTTGTGGCTTTGGTCAAGTTACTTAAAGCTTCTGCCTCCATCTCCTCATCTGTAAAATGGGCCAATAATTCCTCCTCTCAGGGTCATTGTGAGGTCTGAATGCAAAGGGCTGAGCAGTGCCTGATACAGCAGATAATGGGTATATGGTACCTATTCTTTTTTTTTTAATTTAGAATATGAAACGCTTCATGAATTTGCATGTCATCCTTGCACAAGGGCCATGCTAATCCTTTCTGTGTTGTTCCAAATTTTAGTATATGTGCTGCTAAGCAAGCACTGGTACCTATTCTTGTAAGATACGATAGTTACTCTGTGTGTGTGTGTGTGTGTGTGTGTGAGATTTGGATAGAAATATGTCTGAAAAAACAGAGGCAGTGTAAGCAGTACAGGCAGGGAATTTTTGTTGAAAAAGCAACTGTTAAAACCTACAGAAGGAGAGCTCTCCATGGACAAGGTGGATCAGAGAGGACTTCTTTGCAGAAGAGGTGACTGAGGTACCTGAGTATCAGAGGTATGTTATTGGACATGCCAGCAGGGTAGCCACCTCCTGACTGTGGACTGACAGAATGTCTCAGACCAGCTTTTAGGAAATGCTGTTTTAGCCTGGGAAGGAGGCCGGGGCTGCCAGGATCCTGTGTCAAGTCTTGGCAGCCTCTCCAGATGGAGAGATTTGTTGGCACGCTACACTCTGAGTGGGACGTTTGTTTCACAAGTCATTCAGCCCTAGCAAAAGTGTGGCTGCCTAAAAAGCACCCCTGCCCCAGAAAAGATACATTTTGGGGTAAATTTCTGCAGAATGGATTGTCCTGCCCAGTTCTCTCCTTTCAAATGGTCTACCTTCACTGAAATACAGTGATTACCCCGTTGTGAACTTTTGTATTACAAGTCATTACTACAAATACATAAATTTAAAAAATTAGACATAATAGTACAAGGAACCCTCATGTACCTGTCACTCAGCCACACAGTAAACTCACGGCCACTTTCATTTCATTTATACTTTTCCTGCCAGACTATTTCAAACACATCCCCCAAATCATATTGTTTCACCTATAAATATTTGTGTATGCTTTTCTAAGAGATAAGAGCTTTTTAAAAGAACAATCTTATCATGAGTACAAGGAAGAAAATCAGCAAGTTCTTAATACCGTTAAATATCTAGCTAGTGTTCAAATTTCCACAATTGTCTCCTATTTTTTTCAGATGAATCAGATTCTAAATAAGAGTCATACATTGCAAGTGGCTGGTATTTCTTTTAGTCTCTTTGATTTATAGATTCCCCTGCCCTCTTTTTATTCCCTTGCAATTAATTTGTTGAAGAGACCACGTCATTTCCTACTTCCCAGATAGGACTGCACCACTGTGGTGTTACCTATCTTGCTCCTTTGTCCCTTATATTTCCCATAACATGGCAGCTCAGCCTAGTGACTTGGTCTGATTCAGATTCATTTGTTATTTTCAAGGCTATATTGTAGGTACTGTTGTGTGCTTCCATCAGCCATCTCATAATGACTGGTTGTCTCCTTTGTGATATAACGGCCATTGGTAAGCATTACCCAGATCCATGATTTCATTTGGGGATTTGAAAAATGGTGACATTCTAACTCTATCATTAGTTCCTCATTTATTACCTGGGCTATTCCCATAAAGAACTATTTTCTTATCAACTATGTGTTCAATTTATGCCAGTTTAATCAGGAAAAAATGGGTTAAATGCTTGATTCTTTCCCTACACTTAACCGGTATTCAGAATTAGTGGGTTGGTTCCTTTACATCCTCCAGTGGTGACCAATGAGACTTTTTGTTTTATAGTATCATTAGGAAGTCATGGATTTAAAAATACTCCATATGTTTCAACCCATTGCAACCAGTGTTCTCTTTGATTCTCAGATTTTCCCATCTCTGGCCAGTGAATGGGCGCTTCTTTCCTGAGCTACTTCCCAATTTCTGACACAACCATGACCTTAGTTGTTGTTGATAGATTCCTTGCTTTTTGGAAAGAAAAGATGTCCAATTTTGGAAGTGAAAATATTTCTTAAAGAGAAAACATGCTGTAAGTTTATACTGATATTTTCAATTCAAATTTAGGATCACAGGGCTTTGCTTAACTTCTTTGATTTTATTATGCATCTTTTTCTTTTATGCTAAAAGTCTTGGTTCTTAATGACAATGGCATGATTGCTTATTTTCTTTATCCCGTTTTAAACACCTACACACATCTATTCATATCAAATCAATATCAAATGTATGATTAGTGAAAATATTATTATTATTATTATTGCAGATCTTAGGTACATCTTACTAGAGGCAGACATTTGAATTACTGTATTTTCAAATCATTTAAAATAACATGCTTCTGCATAATTAAGCCATCAATTCAGTGCACAGTTAGGGCCATTTATTTTATTTTCCCCTTGATTTTAGGAATTGCCTTTTTTATTCTGATTCAATGTAATTTATAACCACCTAAAACATTTTCATGGTTCTAAAATTGAGTCTAAAAAACAAGATATTATTCAAAGAAGTCCAGCTTGTATCCCAAACTCATCTCTCTTTTTCCTCCTTTCCCTTTAGACAATTTTATTTATTTTATGGTTTACGCTTCCATAATTTTTACATAAGCAAAACCTTACATGCATACATATATACTTTCTTAGATAGATGGTAGCTTATTATATATACTTTAGTTCACCTTTTTCTCACTTAGCATTATATTCTGAGAATCATACCATGGCGACTTATAGATGTTCCACGTTCCCTTCTATAGTTGCATTGTACTTAACTATTTGACTATATCAAAGTTTATTCAACTAGTCCCCTACTGATGGACATTTGGGTTTTCGCTATTACAAAAATATGTTTTCATGTTTTTGTGTTTCTGTCATTGTTTCTTTAGGACAGATTCCGACAAATAGGCTTCCTGGGTCAGAGTGCATACATGATTTTGCTAGATATTGCCAAATTCCTCTCCAATGGATTTGTGCCTTTTTGCATTGTTTCCAGCAGTGATGGAAGTGCCTGTTTTCTCAAAGCCTGGACAAAAGAGAATTTGTCCAATTACTGGGTTTTTGCCCCTCGGATAAGTGGAAAAATAGCATATTACTATATTTTAAATTTGCCTTTTATTATGTACACAATCAAGAGCTTTTCATATAGATAAAAGGCATTTGCATTTCATTTTCTGTGATTTGTCTGTATGTATCTCCAGCCTTTTTTTCTCTATATGATTATCGATCTTTTGTTCTTTCTTTTAAAAATTTGTTTAAATATAGAAATATTAACCTTTTATCTATGATAAAAGTTGAAAAACTTTGTTATTTATAAGTCTCTTTACTTTCCTTAGGGTGTTTTTTTTTCCTATGTAAGTAAACAGGTTTTTGTTTGTCTTATTTTCATGTAATAAAATTCATTAATCTCTTCCCTTATGACTTCTTGAAATTGAGTCAAATGTAGGAAAGTTCCCCCTCACACTCAGATTGTAGAATAATTCAGACTTGTTTTTTTCAGTACTTGTATGGATCCTTTTAATACATTTAACTTTCTCATCCACTTGGAATTTATCTCAGTATACAATGTAGAGAATGAATACAATTTTATATTTTTACACATGTCTATTCAGTCAGTCTGTCTGTACCTTTGATTAAAAAGACCATCATTTCCTCCACTAATCTGAGATTTTGCCTTCATAGCATACTAAATTTCCTAATGTAGTTAGGTCTGTTTCTGAATTTTCTATTTTGTCCTATGAGTCTATACATGTAACACCAACACACATTTTTTTAAAACATTTTTTATTGATTTATAATCATTTTACGATGTTGTGTCAAATTCCAGTGTTCAGCACAATTTTTCAGTCATTCATGGACATATACACACTCATTGTCACATTTTTTTCTCTGTGATTTATCATAACATTTTGTGTATATTTCGCGGTGCTATACAGTGTAATCTTGTTTATCTATTCTACAATTTTGAAATCCCAGTCTATCCCTTCCCACCCTCTACCCCGCCCCCCCCACCCCGGTAACCACAAGTCTGTATTCTCTGTCTGTGAGTCTACTT